TGACGTCACGGCAGCTACGTCCATCTGTTATACAGTCTGTGGTTAAAACTCATAACTGTGCCGTAAAAACCAACCTTCATGTCTGACCGTGTTCAGTCTGAAGTTCTCTCCAGTGTATTAAATGAGCTTCTTGCAATCATTGATTTTACATATATTTAACTTCTCTAAGAAAATATGACGATATGCAACAAATCCACAACAGCCAGTGCATTTTATAGCTGGAATAAAGCCGATTAAACATTTTGTTGAGGTTGAAATTAGATTTTTTTTGTATATAAACATCATTAACAGCAGTGACTCTACATGTGATAGATATTCTACCACTTTGTAGGTTGTCTGGTGGCTAAAAATCTGACAATTATTTCAGGTTTTACAGTTCCTGGCTCTAGTAAATGGTTTTTTAATATAATTATCTGTTTTGTTGTTGTTTTCTTTGCCTTCCAAACCTGCCAGCGGTTTTTGGGCTTTAAAGAATTAACACAGAAAAATGTAGTTTTGTTCGCTGATCCCAGCCCCGTACCCATCAGTGGCCTTTAGTCGTGGCAGTGATCACACTGGACACCACGTCATAACCACCAGGTCTGTGCTGTTTACATGTAATTCAAGGGGACGGGCTTTATTTCCATCACATCTCGCTCCGCCGGCTCTTCTAGCGGCTGAGTCCAGTCTTTTGTTCGCCGTCCTCTGCAGCTACAAGCCGCCGACCCGACAAAGGCCTCAGTTGTGGCAGTAAAGCTTGTATTTGCTCCTTCTGAGGAGCTGGAGGCCGTTTGCACTAAAACAGATGGACTGGCTGTAAACTAAGTGTAAAGTGAGTTCCTGTGGGGATCAGTCCGTCTGTTGGACCGGTGGCTCCTGGACGGCTCGTCTCCGTCCGCCGGCCTCCTTCACCGAAACCTGTCGTGAGAAGTTGAATAAATTGAAAGCGTGTTGAAGGACGGCGGCCTGTCGGAGCGCCAGACGGCTTCAGGTTGCACACTAGCTTCCCTTCTTGCTCGCTGACCTCTCTGCCACTTGACAAGGACTTGGACCGAGCCGAGCTGCTGCAGAAGGTCTCCGCAGAGAGAGCCTGATCCAGCGCCTTGTACCTTATTGAATTTATAACTGTCAGATATTAACCTCGGCTATCTCCCACCGCTGTGCTGCTTGGCGAGAATGCATTTATCTTGGACAAAGTGTTGAACCTGGGCCATGTCGAGACGGAGAAACAGATGCTTTTCACTGCAGCAGGCGCCTCTCTGGGGGTCAATGAACACATCAGTTCACGCTGCAGAAACATAACAGAGCGGCTCTAAATATTGATGTTCAGCCATGAGGTGTCGCTTAGGATGGAACCTACAAGGAAAATTCAACTTTCTTTAGCCTGTTCTTCAAGTTTAAATTTAGCCTTTAGCCACGTTAGCCTTGTTTCGCCTTTGTCGTAATGAAAAGTGGTGACAAGGTGGTGATTTATATTTCATTAAAGGAAAATTTGCTGAACAATACAAAGTTATTGTTACCTAGAGATTCATTATTACACCCACTAACTGTAAAGCACAACTGTTACTGGCAAAGCTAGTGTGGCTTGCTAACATTAGCTTTGCTTGCTAACATCATCTTGCTAATGTTCACTCTGCTAAAGTTAGCCTAGGGCCACTTTAGCCTTTATTAGAATGTAATGTGTCAACAAAGGGGGCAGTTACACTTAAATTACCTTTCACAATATAAATTACATAGAGATTAATTATTAGACGCACTAATTGTCAAGTGCAAATGTTATGTAGCTTACTGGCAAAGCTTGCTAACCTTGGCGTGCTCACATTAGCTTGCCAACGTTAGCTTTGTTAGAGTTACCCTTGGGCCACTTTAGCTGTTGTTAGAATGTAAATTGTTAACAAAAGGGACAGTTATGCTTCATAAACACAACAACTAAAGCACATCCGTTATGTAGCTTACTGGCAAAGCTAGTGTAGCTTGCTACCATTAGCTTTATTTGCATTAACTTAGCCACTTTAGCCTTTGTTAGAATGTAAAAAAGGGGACAGTTACGCTTCATTAAAATAAAAATATGTTGCACAATGTAAATTACATAGAGATTAATTGCGAGACACACTTTTTGTCAAGCACATCTGTTATGTAGCCTACTGACGAAGCTTGCTAACATTAACTTGCTAACGCTAGCTTTGGTAGAGTTAACTTTGGGCCACTTTAGCTGTTGTCAGAATGTAAATTGTTAACAAAAGGGACAGTTATGCTTAATTGAATTAAGACATGTTGCACAATGTAAATTACATCAATCGTTAGACACACTAAGCACAGCTGTTATGTAGCTGTAGCGTTAGCTTGCCATTGTTGGCGCGAGCTAACCAAGTGTTTGCAGCTTACAGTCCACCTGACGTTTATTACTTTCATGTTTATTGTACTTTAACTGAGTCATGAAGACGTGTTTTTTTGTTTTTGTTTTTAAATGTCAGGATTCATCGTAGTTTGTTAAACTTGAGCCAGTCGGAGTCTCAAATGTGCTTCGTTGTCTTCGGGGCTTTTAAATGATCTTTTAGTTCACGCTGCACTAAAACAGAGAAACACCTGTGATCTGAGGCCCACCTGGTTCTGACTCAGTCCTCTTTGTTTCCGCTAACAGCTGCCGGTTAAGCATCCCGATGCTGTTTTCATTGATATTACATGTGAAAGGTCTGATTCATAGCTGGCTTTTCCTCCCACTTTGATTGCAGTTTGAGTGAAAACAGCAGCTTCCTTTGTACCTCTCAGTGACCCAGTTAATTATTATATTGGTCTGCATTTGATCAACAGAGCAGACTGTTAAATGTTCATTAGGATTAATAGAAACATGTCGTGTTATCCTATTAACTGGGCGTGCTGCTGACCTTCCACGTATCTTTCTCCATGTGTTTGTCCTGCAGTTGGGTGAGGACACCTTCAACCGGGCCAAGCTGCTGAACGTCGGCTACACAGAGGCCCTGAAGGACGCCGAGTACGACTGCTTCATCTTTAGCGACGTGGACCTGATCCCTATGGATGATCGCAACCTCTACCACTGCTACGACCAGCCCAGGCACTTCGCCATCGCCATGGACAAGTTTGGCTTCAGGTGACTGAAGTCCTTCCACACACACACACACACACACACACACACACACACACACACACAGAGGGATAATGACACCTGAGCTCATACCTGCTTGTTGGGAATCACTCATGGTTTGTTGCGCTCACTTCATCAGATGGAAATGTGATTTTAAATATGTTGCTGGCGTCCTAGCAGAGCTCCAGAGAGCCTCCAGCCTGCCTCCTGACAGACGACTGACGGAGTCGTATTTAATTTGAGTAAATCTCATTAGACTTTGAAATTCTTGTCTCTCGCTGGAATTAGCATAAAAATGCACCACAGTTCGCTGCTGCCAGTTTTTATTTGGTCATACTTGTGCAGTCCTAACGAGGGCTCACGTTCCAAAGCGTAACGAACAAATCTCCACCGTCGCTTCACCAAGAACAAACTCACTGTTTGGTTTTTCATCGAGGCGCTGACTTGTGTGGAAATACGTCACCTCATTGGTAGAATAAAACCCCACACACAGACTGAAGATGCTGCGTGTGCATGTTAGAGCTGAAACAACTGTCAGAGCAAAATAAATAATTAGCAATCATCTTATTAATCAGTTAGTAGTTTTCAAGCAAATACAACAGATATGATTTATCTCCAGGCTCATGAGGAGGTCGAGCCGCTTGTTGTTCTGTGAAAACAAACTGAGTATGTTTGGATTTTGGTTTGCTGGTTAGAATAAAGCAGCAGCTAAAGGACATCATCATTAACTCTGTGATCCTCCTTCCAGGCATTTATTTTGTTTGTGTCTTATTTTAACATACTGCACAAAAAAAGAAAATATTAGTTTGATTATTGATTCGACTGAAATTCAGGTGATGCTCCCAACATGTGGGGAGTATTTTATTTTTTGATTCTACATACTTTGATTTTTCACCAAACGTGTTATTTTGGTTCCATCTGCTCTGTGCAAACAGCCTGCAGGTCAGCATCAGACATCTTCAGACTTTTAGCCTCTCGGCTGTGCAGAATTTTTAGCATACACTAAAATTATAAACATAATTTTGATCAAATATCACGATTTTAGGGTTGGATTTGATCAAGTTGTCACACGATCATATCACAAGTTAGAAATCAGACAGTTCTTTGTGTTTTTACAGATTCTTGTGGCGTCATTTTGGCTTTTTTTTCCCTTTAATGTAAAGATAATTTGCCTTCCAAACTGGGTTGAATATAGAAACTGTGATCAGCAGTTTGTTCATGTTCCTGCCCATTTATACAGGAAACAGATTTTCAATTAGTAGAAAGTAATCATCCTCGTAAAAAAGAATCTACACAGACAACTGGTAGCTGGATCGTAATGCACACAGAGTGAAAAATATACGCATCATGTAAATATGCAGTAACTACTAGTAAAATAAAGTCTCCCTGTTTAATCCAACCAGTCAGCATGTACGGGGTTAACAGGTCGGCCATCTTGGCTGCATGTGCAGTGAGAGCAGCGGTCACTGGTGTTTAACTGCTTCATGTTGTATTAATTTGTCTGAGAGACAGAAAATCCACATATTAAACTGGTTACAGATAAAACCTTCACCATGTTAGACATGAAACAGAATGAGTGGCTCGTTGGAAGCTCTGACCGGCACCTCAGAGCTCCTCCAGGGACCGAGAACCAGGAAGGGAACCAGCAGAGAAGAAACAACCTGATAAGTTTGTAGGAAATTCTCCAGCTCAGGAAATTTAAAATGCAGCCGGAGGAGCCCAAAGCGCTGAAAGGTTGGGTCCAGCTTCAGCATCTTTTTGCATAATGACACCACACCTGCCCTCAATTATCTAAAAGCACTGGAAGCATTGATTAATGGTCTAAACATGGCCGGTGAATGTGACCCACCAATCCAGGAGCTGTCAGTCCACAAGAGTTATCCTACTGCAAGCCCTCCGGGGCTCCTGCAGCTCCCTGATATAGTGCTCAATAAGCTAATGCTATCTGGCAACAAACAGCGCGCCAGGTGGTAAGCAGGTCCACAGCGCACGTCTCTCGTTAGCGGGGAATCAGGACGGACTTCAAACGGGTTCATCAGAGCCTGTGGCTCCTCAGAAACTAAGAAAAGGTCCGAACAGGAAGGCTCAGCGGTCACAGCGAGTGGAAGGTCACAGAATTAATTACTGATATAAAATCAGGTTGTTGAGGAGAAGCGCTTCCAGAGGTCGCGGCGGTCCGACTCGCCCGGCGGTGCTTCAGCTTCAGCTTTTAGAAAGCTTCCAAACTGTAGGGACCAGCGAGCAGCCGGGCCGGTGCAGTGTCTGGTTAAATGCAGGCAGAACCTAGTGTCTGCGTTTTCTGGGCTTCAGGAGATGAAATGTAAAAGCACTTTTCTGATAAATGGGGAAAACATTGACAGCGAGAGTCGGGTCACATTAAGCGCTCCTCCATTAGCTCAGCGCCTCGCAGCTCATAACGGCTCCGTGAGCTCTACGGGTCACCTTCAGGTCCGTTTCATAACGCCGCTTTTAGAAAACGTTGCACAAATCACAGCCTATCGTAGGACCCCGTGTAATGTGTTCAATCATATCACCGTGTGCATGTTTAAGCGCTGGTTCTGGCAGAACACATGAACCCGGGTCGTGACCGACTCCTGTGAGCTCCTCAGTGTTTCCTCACAGCTCCTGAAACCACGATTAAGTATTTATTTTAACATTAAATAGTCATTATGGAAGAAGAACATAAAATTAGCTGCTGAGGAGTTAAAAACTGAGCCAATCACCAGACTGGAAAAAAATTATTTGCTAATTTCTGATTGGTGCACAGATATGTGATGTCACATTTTCCCCACTAAGCCCCGCCCCCTTCCGACCTCGACAACAACAACACAGTAGTAAACAACCAAAGCTGTGCTACTTCAGGACTGACTTGAAGCTAATGAGGAAGCGGCTCTTAGAGGCTTTAATGTCAGGACTAATTCACAGAGTTTTATTTTGACCTTTAAGACGTAACTGAACCGTTTAAGCGGCGGAGTGAAGGAGCGGGTGGCGGCGGACTGCAGGAGACGTCGTGGCCTCGCTCATTCGTGCCGACCTCCATCCTCGATTCCTTTCCTCACCGCCTCTCCTCACATCCTCGCCCCGACTGTCTGAGATGTGAGAGGAGGAGGCGAGGAAGGAAACGAGGAGAGATGACAGGCGTTATGAACTGGAGCTGTGGCTTCATCTGTTATGGCCTCTGTCAGATGAACATCCTGAATTAAGTCTGCATCGTGGCATAATGTGACGAATGTCGTTCTTAATATTTAACTGACAACACAAATTAAAACCTGAACCTTTGACCCCGGCGCCAAGCGGATCCGGAGGCTTTGGGCCGGTTTGCTGCCACTTGTTCCCTCAGAGGGAAGATTCACTGCAAATCAATACGCAGCGGTCCTGAGCGATCGCCTTCACCCTCTAATGAAACGCCGTGATGGGATCCCGGAAGAGAGCGCTCCACGGGGCGCGACGGGTCGCCGGACGGTTTGATGAAAGTAAAAACGATGTGACTCAGACGATGCGTCACAGCCGCCGGATTTCGACCCAGTTTTTCAGCCCTGTGGGAGACTTTGGATGGACGAGTCAGCGAGAACTCTGAACCGCCGTCATACAACCACCAAGTGAGGGAAAGTCTTAGAGAAGAATGCTGGTCCATCTAGTGGTAAAAAAATAATCTAATTAATTAGAGGCTTTGTAATTAATTAATCTTGATAAATCGCATTTTTATCAAATAGCAGGGTTTGACCCAATAAGCGGCTCTAATGCATTCTGATTGACAAACATAAACGTGAACTTAAACGACCAAAGTATTCATTGTTGATCTATATTTATCTGATTCTTCATCTGTTGCTGCAGTCACAGATCAGTGAAACTCAAAGTTACAACGATTGTATTCAACGTTTAAGACCTTTTGTCTTAAAGCTGAAGGTTGAACACGTCCACGCTCTGATCCAAGCTGCCATCAGGACGCTTTTTAAAAAACTAATTTCCTCCCAACAAGATAAGCGATACGGTCTTGTCTTCCATCACAAACCTTCTCATGGCTGGTAAACCAACTTTAGCTGCATTAGCGCCACCTAGCGGCTGGAGTGTGAGCATCAGTGTTACCAGTGGGACAGAAATTAGGAAACTGAGAACAGTGCGATTAAATGTGTTATTTTTTTGTAATTAATTGATCAAAATCAAGGGCTTCAAAGTGTCACGGTGGTTAGCACCGTGGCCTCACAGCTAGAAGGTTGCCAGGCGTCCCGGTGAGGACACCCGGGATCTTCCTGTGTGGAGTCTCCATGTTCTCCCCGTGCAGCGTGGGTTCTCTCCGGGTTCTCCGGCTTCCTCCCACAGTCCAGAAACATGCTGAGGTTAATTGGTGATTGTAAATTGTCCGTAGGTGTGAATGTGAGTGTGCTTGGTTGTCTGTCTCTAAGTGTAGCCCTGTGATAGACTGGTTACCTGTCCAGGTGAACCTGCCTTCACCCTGAGTCAGCTGGGATAGACTCCAGCCCCCCATGACCCTGGTGAAGGTGTAGAGATGATGGATAATGCTAGCCTTAGTTCCGTCCCTTTAGTAGAGTTCAGAACCAGCTCTGCATCATCCTGCAGCATGTTCAGAGTGAATCAGGCTTTAATGTGGGTTTTACTTCTTTGCATATTACATACACGCATTTACATCACAGGTGAGGAGCAGCTATCAGACTACCATTGTGCTTCCTCCACTCGTAGCTCCTCTGGCAGCCTCCTCTCCTCCAGATGCAGTGAAGGACCTGCTTCCAGATGGCATGCTGGGACCAGGTTTGGAGAACAGAGCAGACGTCATGTCTCAACACGGAGAAATGGGAGCAGAGTCGTGTGGACAAAACCATGGAGCCGGTAGACGGAGAAGTTCCTGTCAGATGACGAATGTGGAGCTTTGGCAGTTACTAGGAGCACTTGATGTCCTTTAGAGAGAGTCCCTGTGACGCTATCTGTTGTAGCTGAGCTGGCAGCTCTGGAGGCTCCCTGGTGCTTCATTCTGTGGACGGGGGAGCGTCTGCATGTGCTAATGCTGCCGTTCGCCTGAGTTATTGGTGAGCCGCTGTGTTGTGTTTACTGCCGGTAAAGAGGAGTGGATCTCCTCCGTGTGCTGTACGGTGGGAGGTGTTCCAGCTGCTCCACAGCCGGCCGAGTGTCGTCACAGGTGGGGAGGAACCAGAGGAACAAAACGCTGTTCCTGCAATAACCTGAGAGTCTGTTTAAGTGTCTTTGTTGGTTAAATAGTGCCGTTTGAACTGGACCTAAGGTTGAAGAGTTGAGGCGGTAATGCAGGATACAGTATTTATAACTGTGGATTTGATCTTTCTGATTAGGTGTCACGTTTGTGTTTGTTTCTCTGCCGTCTTCATGTTTCTACCTGCAGCGAATCAGTCAATTGAGGAGCCAAGGTGACCTTTTTCAAATCTAAGAGGCCAAACAATGCAAAAAAAGAGACAAAAACAGCAAAGATGTGTTTGTTTTATGTGGTTTGTGCCTAAATTGGCGTCGTAGCTTTAATTTCTGTAACGTTCATGCTGTTTCTCTGTAAAGTTACCGTTTCACTATGATTACTACTCTCCTCCGAGGACATAATCAGACAGATATGAGCTTTACGGAGCCACAGCTGGTGAAGACGTTACGTAAGAAGTTTTGTTTGTCCTCTTTCTAGCGAGACTTTATAAAAAATTTACACTCAAAGTTCTCAAGAAAAACATGCAGTTCATTAAGTTGAATTTCCGCTCTCTCTCTCTCTCTCTCTCTCT